GGGGCTGCAGGCCAAGGAGAAATGGCAAGCGGAGAGGCTAATAGAGACCCTCACCTCTTCTCTATTAGTCTCCTGCAACTCTAGGTGGTAGCTGGAAACTCAATTAAAACATCTGTACTTTCCCCTTCTCAATTACGGTTCCTTACACTTAAAACCAAACAAATTGAATTGCTTCACTGCCTCGGGCTGCTAAGGCAGTTTCTGCCAACAAATTTATTATCACCATAAAGCGCAGCTTGATTTATGTTAAAATATTAAAACAGATCTTTATGATGGAAATAAACACTTTGTGCTGCGATTCTCTCGAAGGACCTCACAAGCAGCGGAGGATTTTGGGGCTTGGGCTGTAAATCGAGATCCAACTGGCAGCCGGGGATGGATTCGGTCTTTCGCAGCGCTTGGAAGAGTAACGGTCAGGGGAGGGAAAATAAAACCTCGGAGCTTGAGGGGCAGGTTTGGGGGAGGTGTGAACATCACCCAGGAGCTGTGTGTCGCTTGGGGGGACTTTAGCTGTCCTGAAGGGTTGGGAGATGATGCTCACCGGCCTTTCCCCAGCGTGGGTTTGGGCAGCTCTGGCCCCAGGGGCTGTTGGCGGCTGCAGGGGCTCGGCCACGGGGGCTGTTGGTAGCCAAAACGATGCCTGGGTGACCTCCTGCTGGGGCAGAGGGCTTCTTCCACTGGGCCAGTAGCCAGCACCCGCCTGGCTCCAGCCAACCTCCCCAGGATGCTGTGGTCGCTGGAGCTCTGGAGACGTGGCCAGGCAGCAGGGCAGGGGGGGGGTTGTGCCCCTGTGGGTGCAGGGGGGGTTGGATGGGACCCCAGGGAATGTTTTGTGCTGCTGATGGGAGGCAGGAATCGGGAGGTGGCCGTCCCTGCTGCTCCCTCGAGCATCCTTGGGCAGCAACGCCCTGCTCTCCCTGTACCAGGAGCGACACTTTCCTGGCCCTGTATCTTTTCTGGTTGTACCATCCATGATTTAACCAGCTGCCCCCACCCTCAACCAGGGCCACCGGCTTCCCAGAGCACCACCAGCGTGTCCTTGCCGTTGGAAACCTCTTCCCTGTGGCTGATCCATGCTGGGACACCTTGTCCCCCCCTCCCTCCCTCAGCAGGCTGGGTCTTGCGATGCCAAGTGTAGGGGGGGCAGTGAAAATAATAGGTGCCATGGCGATGCCATGGGGGTGGGTGCTGGGGGAGGCTGTCGGGGGGGGGACTGCCTGCCCCCCACAGCAGGGCCGAACCCAGGAGGTGGGTGGCCAGCACTGAGCTGGCTGTATTTCTTTCTTTTTGCACATAAATGGCAGCCCGCAGCGTCCCAGGGCGGCACGGGTGCCGGAGCCAGCTGAATTAAAAAGTGATTGATTAGACAATTTCACCAAAAAGAAATAATATCCCTCAGAGGCTGTTAAGCACTAAATTACCCAACCCCTGCTCTGGAAAGCCCGGTCAGAGGGTGCTTCCAGGCTGCTGCTCCCCTGCAGATTTGTCCCTGGGGGAAGGGATGCTGCAGGAGCAGCTCAGCCCCTCCTTGGTTCCCCGGGGGGGAGGGGGGGAGAGGGAAGGGGGTTACACAGCTCCCACCTGGCACCAGGAATGGGAGAAAAATGCTGCTCCTCCCTCCCGATGAGTGTATAAAGATGATATGGAAATGCCACCATGGTGGCATGGGACATGGGTGCTGGGCGCCCAGGATGGTGCTGACACCCATCCCCCGGGGCCACTTTCCCTGGGATGCAGCCCCCCCAGCACCCCATCCCCCTGTCCCTCGCTGCCCTCAGCCTCCCACAGCAGAGCCCTTCAATAAAACATGAAGCAAATCCATTTGGCCTCTGCTGAGTCACCGGGGACATCATTAATTAATTTAAAACGTGAGTTGGGGGTTTTTGGTATTTTATTCCCCCCCCCTTTTTCTGCTCCCTTTCGTTCTCACAGCCCCAACCCCACCTCAGGCTTGGCCCCAACCCTGCTGAGCCAAAGATGCAAAGATGCAGCCTTGTGTCCTGGCTTCCTTGGGCCAGAAATGCACAATTTGAGGGAAAACTCTCTAGGGCATATCAGAGCCTCCTGGGGACCAGCCTGTCACCCCCAGGGGCATCCAGGGCCCCCGGCTGGTGAGACCCACCCCGGGCAAATGGGTGCCATCCCCTGGGGGCATCCCGGCAAGGCTCCTGGAGCCTTCAACTGAGTTTATTTATTTATGGCCTTTATTTATATACTAGCACCTCCCTCCCTTGCCACCAGGCTTCCGAGGGGCTGCCAAAGCAATTAAGAGACAATTGCGATGATAAATAAGTAAAGGGAATTAAAGCGCCGGCACCAGCATGTGATGGCAGCCAGGCTGGGGGATGGGGATGGGGGGGGGGGAACGACTGGCTGGATTTAACCCCAGACAGATGGGTGGAGGGATTGACGGACAGATGGATGGACAGACATGGCCAATGCTTCTGCCCCTGGGCTGCACATGGCAAGTCCCTTCCTGACCTCCCCAGGGCTTTGATGCTGTCCCCAGGGCTGGGTGGGTGTCCTGGAGCAGCCCCTGCCATCGTCCCCGCCATGTTACCTGCCCTGGATGCTCAGAGGCTGCCGGCAACCCCCCCCAAAAATACTGCAGCTTTAGAGCAGCTTCTTGGGGGGATGTTCATCCAGACAGGGAATGCTGAACCAGCCGGGACGAGGGGCTAAAGGTTGGCATCTCCTCGGGACGGCCTGCCAGCCCACCATGGGCAGCTTTACATGGAGTGCTGCCCTGGGATGGGGTTGGTACCACCCAGCAAAGCCATGGCCGCTGCCCTGGGCCCTGGCAGCCTCGTGTCCCACTGCCCAAAAGCCCCCTCCCCTGCCCGGTGCTACAAATGGGGGCACCCCCCTGCCCGCACCCCCCCAGCCCGAGGGCTGCCTTAGACACACACAGCAAGAGAAGAATTAAACCCAGCTCATCTATCGCACCTGATTTATGGCTCCATCAGCCCTGGGAAGGTGGGAGGATTATTTTTCTTTTTTTTCCCCCCATTGTTATTCCCCCCCAGCACATCTCGCCGGGGCTGCCATGCTGTACCGTGCTGTGCCGCAGCTCCCTGCCTGGTTTGAAGCTGTGGGAGCATCCCTCACCAACCCAAGCTTGCAGCACCCAAAAATCCGAGCAGGGTGCAGTAACTCCGACTTCAGTGCTCAGCTCCAGCCTCAAGGCTCCCAAGTAATTATCCCTCAGTGCTGTTTAATGAGTTGCCGTTTGCCTTTGCCTGGCTGTGGCCGGTGGGACAGCCCTGGGGCTCAGCAGTAAAGGGACGCAAGTGGGGACAGGGTGCACAGGACCACGAGCATCCCTGTGACACAGGTGAGGGTCACAGCTGAGGGGAGACCTTATTGCTCTCTACAACTACCGGAAAGGAGGGTGTAGAGAGGTGGGGGTCGGTCTCTTCTCTCAAGTCACAGGCGACAGGACGAGAGGAAATGGCCTCAATTTGCGCCAGGGTAGGTTCAGGCTGGATATTAGGAAAAATTTTTCACTGAAAGGGTTCTCAGCCATTGGAATGGGCTGCCCAGGGAGGTGGTTGAGGCACCATCCCTGGAGGTGTTCAAAAGACGGGTTGATGTAGTGCTGGGAGGTCTGGTTTAGTGATGATGCTCCTTGTTTGTTGTGTGGGTGTCTATTTTTGTCAGTTAGGTTGACGGTTGGACAAGATGATCTTTAAGGTCCCTTCCAACCTAGAAGATTCTGTGATTCTGTGACACAGGTGTAAAGCAAAGGACAGCCCCGGCCTCATTGCTGACTGGATGGAAGAAGGGTCCCCAGCTGGTTGAAAATGTCTTTTTAATGACCTGGACATGGCATTTGGAGTCCCTTGAATGAAACCAAAACGTGACGGCGACACGTCAGCAATGAGTTTGGCGTTCTCCAGTCCCCGGCCAGCCCTGCCTGTGGGGACAGCCCAAGCCAGAGCACCCTGGCTCCTGCTGGGCTCCTCTGACCCCCCCAACCCCCCCCCGAAAGCGCACGGGACCTGCCGAGCCGCTTGGAGCATCCCTCTGCCGGCGGAGCAGGACCCTGGGAGGCTGGAGCCCGGCCGGGAGCCGATGGCCAGCCCACGGGGACACCGGGGCAGAGGGGTGCAGACACCCCCCTGTCCCCCCCCCGGCCTTCTCCAGTCACACCTCCGACTCCAGGCTGGAGACCCGCCGCCAGGACCCGCCGGCGCAGGGACTCGTCACCCCACGGGCCACCAGCGGGTCCCTCCTCTCCGTCCCCGCCGCCCGCAGCAAGGCCGGCTCCCCGCGCCTCCCGCAATCTCTGCACCCGCTGTCCCACCGCCCCGGCCCCCGACCACAGCCCCCCGGCACCCCGGGGTGCTCACGGGGTGGCGGGGACCCCCGTGAGAGGTGCCCCATGTAGAGGGGCAGGTTGGTGTAGGAGTCCATGCAGGCGTAGTAGGGCGCGCACGCCGCCGGCGCGGTGGCACGGGGGTTTTGCCGGCAAGCCTCCCGGTAGGACGGCAGCCTGACCACGGGCGAGCGGGGTG